ATATATATATATATATATATATATATATATATATATGTAATCCAAACATTGAGGATTTAAAAAAATATATTTAAAAATAAAAATAAGAAATTATTTAAGGTTTATAAATTAGTTTTATTAAATTGTATGAAATAATTTTGCTGCGCATGCCATTTGTTTATTCTTTTCGTGCTTCCGCGGGAGTTTATATCAATATAGTTGGCTCTTGTAGGTCATCTGTTCGTGGTATTTTTTAGAACTCGTTATTATAAGTGTTAAATTTGACATTTTAGACATATATTCGGCGGACGTTCAGATTTTTGGTCTCTGAACGATTCGCTTTCACCAGTTAGTAATTGGGATTTGATGCATGTAAGCAGTAATGGTGCAGTGAAGAATGCTATGCCCTCACTGCTTGACTGGTACTAAGGAAGAAATGCTGGTATTATCTGGGGGTAAATTTCAACCTGGATATTGTTGTTTCGTTTGAATTTTAGTTGAACTGTTCTTATAATTGTATAATTCTTATAATCCACTTTGTCACGCCTCTGACCCTACTGTACGAAATTGCCAGGAACGGTACATTCACCCTGTTAATTGCAGTCTGGAATAGGGGAGTTCATATGTCGTTTTTTAACGGACTTGTTTGACATTGGCTGGCAGTAGGTCTTGAAGCTTATGTCGCCCATTGATGGAATCCGAGGTGTTAGGCTCTGGGGGGATTTTGAGAACATTTCAGTTAACGTGTCTGTTGTTTTATCGTGAATCTTCATAAAAATATCTTTGTTTTTTGGTGAGATGCTCAGATTGGTGCAAGGGTTATTGAGATTATTAAATTGTTAGATGACTTTTCAATTATTCAAGACAATAATAGGAGTCAGAACTTAACTTTGAAGGATTTTTCACCTCTTGTAGATCGTTTTCCATGGAAGGAACTATGCCATCAAGAAAAAATATGCCATGCCATCCGGATGGGACCTCGAATCAAGTACTTTCTTGCCCTAGAAATTGTAAGTTATTTTATGTCTTTTGTTTCATGCAATTTGTGCTGAATTCTAACGGCCTATTTGGAATAATTTTAGTCGTGCCCCTATCTGGCGAAGGCCGTCCCATTTTACCACCTCCAGTTCAGCATGATTTTGTACCACTCCAATGTAAGTTTTTTTCAATTTTATTTGCCTCTTGACAAAGGGGTCACACAGACGGATCAGTTGGAGAGCATTCGGTCACTGGGCGTTTGAATTGTATGGAGAATAGGGAAACGGGATAGAGGCCACAGTAATAGCAGACGGAACAAGACAGCGCGCCTAGAGAAGGCAAAGTGCATATGTAACCTGTTAGTGAACGTGACCACCAGGTTAGCTCACTTCCAGTTAGGTCAATTTTCCCTGACTACGGGCTCTTGTTCTACACTATATTAGAGATATGGATAAGGGTTCAAACAATGGAAAAAAGAGCCGGAAAAAGTTCAACTTTTAATTGTGCACATGGTAATACGTTGTGAAATTTGATCCAAAATATGCAACAGCCGTATGTTTCTCTGCACACCCTTGTTATATGTGGGCATTCAGATCCCCTATACTATTAAGTTAACCGATGTTATTCAAGCGTAATTAGGCAGAAGCCATGTTCAAATGATTTTTAGTGTTAAATTTTCGATAATTACCCAAGGGCCGGATTCAACTAGGGATTTCATCACGATATCGAGCGTTTAGGCATCCTCACAAAGCCTTCACTAACCTGTGTTCTCTTTTTAACTATTGCTGCTTTAGCGAATTGTCGTAATGTGGGACAAAATATTGCGTTTTCTGCCAATGTGATCACCAATGGCTCAAACCCAACTCCTCAAGCCATGGCATT